TGAAAGTGAGACACAGCGGGCAAGGGGAAATTAAAGACCATTTACTCAGTCCACAAAGTATTTGATTGGAAGTCTTACAAGAAAATCTGCCGCAGGTTCAAAATTCCGCTACCAATGCAGTAATTGGCAAGTAAGCGTTTAAGGAAGTGCCTTTCTATTGGTCGAACCGGGGGCAATTTATGATTGGATAGAGCTTCATTGGCATTTTATATGCCCTGGACAAATCGACATCTATGGGCATTTCCGTGTCCCACACGGGGAACCAAGAACAGAGTCGTCAACAAGGAACGATTCGGAAGTGAGCCTTCAGAACCGCAACCTAAGATGATAAGTGGAGCATATGCGTCCGCTTGTCCGACGATCAACCATAGTGGAGGCCAGCTCGAGATTCCTACAATTGCCCTTGCAGCATGGAAGTACGAAGAAGTCCTCATCTACCTCACTTTTCTTCTCTTTATTCTGGCAGTTGTTTTATTAAAGATTGCTTATCACAAAATTCCTCTGGTAGCGACTTATTTCCCCGAATCCCTGCTTCTGATTGGTGTAGGACTAATTTTTGGTGCTATTCTGAGGTACACAGTTGCATTTTGTGCATTCGCCGAACACATACGACTAACACCTCAGCTGTTCTTCAACATCCTGCTTCCTCCCATTGTTCTAGAATCGGCCTACAGTTTGTACAATCAAAAATTTGCGCAGATATTGGGTCCCATCCTGATTTTCGCCTGTTTGGGAACTGTCCTAAACTTCCTCCTCATCGGGACTGGCCTCTTGGTGGTGGACCAAGCCATCGGGCTTGGCAATCCTCAACTGGGACTCAGTTACCGGGAGTATCTCCTGTTTGCCTCCCTTATAGTTGCAGTGGATCCTGTAGCGGTTCTAGCCATATTTCAGGATATCGGCGTGGATCTGAGTCTCTACTACCTCGTATTCGGAGAGTCCCTCTTGAATGATGCGGTCACTGTGGTGCTTTACAACATAATGAGCGCGTTTGTGGCAACAGAGGAGGTCACAACTGCGCAAGTTGCCATTGGCATTGGATCCTTCTTTACCGTCAGTCTTGGCGGAGCTCTGATAGGCCTCATCCATGGCGTCCTATCTTGCCTGCTCACGCGTATGAGCGTAGCCTCTGAAGGTCTGCTGCTCCTTCTCATCAGTTACCTCGCCTACATCGTTGCCGACATGTTTGCCTGGTCAGGAATCATTTCGATTATCGTCTGTGGTGTGCTGCAAGCCGCTTATGCCTTCCACAATCTAACACATCTCTCTGTCATGTTGATGAAAGCTGCGTTGAAGCAAATTTCTGCTATCAGTGAGGCAGTCATCTTCCTGCTTCTCGGATCGGAGGTCTTCGCTCTTAACCTTCAATGGCACACCGGACTGACACTCAGCGCTTTGGTTATATGTCTGGTCGTGCGAACTCTCGTGGTCTTCACCCTGTCTACTATTATAAACCGATGCCGGCTCATAGATAGCAAGATAGAGTGGACAGAGCAGATCATTATCAGCTACGGTGGTCTGCGCGGTGCAGTGGCCTTTTCGCTTGCGATTCTAGTCAATTCAAAATTTCTGGGGACACAGGGTGCTCTGGCTAGGGACGTCATCGTCACAACAACCCTAGCTATCATCTTATTCACAGTGGCAATCATGGGTACAACCATGAAGCCGCTGGTAAAACTGCTAAACATTCGACTTGATAGAGGTGAGAAGAAGAGTCTGTTTGTGACGCTTAATGACTCCATGCTGGACAACGTTCTCCTCTTTGTGGAGCAGTTAATCTCTCGGCGAGGGTACAATCGAATTAGACACTTTTTCCTAAAACTCGATGACAGATACATCCGGCCAGTGCTTCAGCGGAATGCTGTTACACACGACAAGAAGATACTGAATATATACGCGAAAATGGCACTGAAGATGCACTCAGATGCTATTTCTTCACACGAACCAATCAGTACTGTGATTCCGATAGAGGACGCAGGGGACGTTTTGCGACCACTCATTCAGCTCGAAGGACCCTCAGAATGTGATGTAGACGGCTCAGTCTTCTTATCGAAAGCCAGAGAAAAGGAAGTGGGTGTCGAGTTGGCTCCATGTGTACTGAGACAGCGTAACGCTGCGAGGATGCAACGTCGAATCACTCTTGCCTCCCTCTCACGAGGCGGAATCGAGCCCCAATTTCGTCCACCGCAACGACAAGTGGCCGACTGGGCTCAAGTGGCGCAAATTGTGAAGGTTTTCCGCAATCAGGCTCAGCTGGCGCATGCAATGGGCAGGTACGTTAAAGAGCAAAGCCCGGATGACCCCGAAAGAGCAAGCGGTGTTGCAGAGCGACGCATCCGTTTTGCACGACAACACAAGCAACACCGTACGTCGATGCCCGCAATATTTGGGCGTGCTATGCGGAAGGCCAAGACCAAAAACGAGGACCCCACAAGTCCGATCTAGCAGAAAATCGTCCAGCGAGGAAGGCGAGAGCACAAAAGAACAAACTATCTCCTCTAATCCTCATTCCGTCCATATTTGTAGGCATTTCCTTACCACCTTTAGAAGTACTGATTTATGTTGAGACTAATAATTATTCTAACGATACTTTGAAAAAGGGTTTTTATATTAATAATAACCAGGCGTTCTTCCGTTTCCTTCTACATGAGGCTTATTTTGATTTGAATGTGGCTGTCTTAACCCAAAGACCAACTAAGAAACATTGCAGATATGCGGATATAGCTATATATTCCACGTACCACTAGAACATGGAAATCAAAGTTAGTTGGTTATGAATATATTTTACAGTTGCCCTACAAAATTTCCAGAAACAGGGTGCGATTAACTGCTTGGAATAGTAATGTCTCTCAAGTTTTATTTGAATACTTATTACCCAGCTTCAAGAGATACTTGCTGAAATAAAATAAGCTACAGAAACCGGAGTCTGCGTAACAGGATAGCATCTGAATAAGGAAAGAGGTAAAATACCTGGCAGCATTTTTTGAAGGTCCGTTGTGAACTGCTGAACCTGCAATTACAGAGACACAGAAAAAGGTATTTCCAGTCGGCCGATGCCGCTCATGACTGCTTCTTACATCCGTCTCCCAAGTGACGACTTCGAAACACCATTTTACCTCTTTTTCCTCTCGGTGATCTCATATGAGATCACTTAAAAATTAAGAGCTTTCTTAATTATTTCTCTGTATATACGCATATTTGACCTTCATGCTATATCTATTAGGTATATTTCTCTGATATCCACATGAAATTT